TTTTACATATACTATACCATTCTCATTTACACCAAAATATTGATTAGCTTTAGCATCATNTGGATCAATATAATAATCAAACAGAGCATTTAGGGTCTGAAAAAGGAAAGAAATTTAAATTTTCAATTATATATTGTTCTTAAATATTATTAGCTATAAAATGTTGATATTTTCGTTAAATTTTCATTTCATTTTGATGCAAAGGACAGAAAATTTTACCACTATAACTTATTCAATTTGCTAATATATCAGTTGCCTCTTTCTGAACCTTCAAAAATATTTGTTTGAACCTGAACCTTCAAAAATATTTGTTTGAACGGATCTGTTAGACTCAAAGAAGTGGTTGCCTAGCAAGATACGCCCACTTTCCTGATACAGTATATCATGGGCAGTCACCTATCTGTGTCAAATCATACCAAAAATCTAATTTATGCAAGATATTGTTGATTTAAACAAACACACATTATTCAATAAAATTCTGACATAACTGTCACCTCTAACGCTAAGAAATTTTGATGCGTTTTTACTAAGTCATGGGCAATGATCGAAAAATTGTCAAATTTAATCTTGACTAAGATCTTATCATTATAAATGATCATACCAAATTTCATTCAAATCAGATGAAAACTGTAGTCTCTATCGCGTTCACAAAACAATTTTGACCCGTTTTGGCTAAGTCAAGGGCAATAACTCAAATACCGTTCATCGAAAAATCGTGAATATCGAACTTGTCCATGATTTCATCAATATAAATGAACATACCAAATTTCATTCCAATCAGATGAAAACTCTATCGCGTTCACAAGCCAATTGTGGACAGACGGACGGACCGACCGATGTGGGCGAATAAAAATTCATTGTAAACGATTGTCGTCTGTTTCTCAAAGAGTCTTACAATCATTTTATTTAATTCCATATTAAAATTCAGACAAAATGTAAGGATATTTTGAGAAACTAGACCTATAATTACTGCTATCAAATTTTTACTAAAAAAAAAAAGAATATAAAACTTACATCTCGATTGAGGGGAACATTTCTATCCTCATCGAAAGCAGAAACGTTGAAAATGACTCGACCAATCTGCCATGTTGTATCTACTGTTCCATTATAGTTTAAAGCAGCAAATCTTGGTGGGTTGATATTACGTACTAATGTTATTAACATTGTTCCTATGTCAGATTTAGGTGGCACAGCTTGATCTCGTACACGTAACGTCAACTATAATCAAAAAATATATTCATTTTCATGAAGCTGCTTCTCACTACTTCCGAATGCAGGTGGTAAAACTACATACTTTCACCAAGTTGCATGAAAATCATTGCAAACTATTAAGGCTTTCCATCTGAATTTTTAACACACTTAAATAATATTTGAATATCGAATGTAAAGATTTTGTCAGTATAAACCTACATTATAGTTACTTGGTACACCTTCATTAATCAAAGCCTGTGCTATATAAACGTCACCAGTTGTAGGACTCTGAACGAAATAGTCACGTAGATTGAAGTTGAATGGATTACTATTGCTGGTTGTAATACTTAAAATATCATATGTTAAGTTACCACTTGGTGTCTAAAAATAACAAAGAAATCTCATCAAGTTCAGAATCTCATCAAGTTCAGTATCTCATCAAATTCAGTATCTCATGCAGTTCAGCATCTCATCAAATTCAGAATCTCATCAAGTTCAGCGTCTCATCAAATTCAGAATCTCATCAAGTTCAGCGTCTCATCATATATATGCTATATGAGTGGTCTGTGAAAAGAC